TTCTGGTTACTCCCCAGCCCAAGACAGTGGAGTTAAAGGAGGCTTCATCATGATGGCTTTTCCATTTCCTCCTTTCGTCCCCTGATGACATTTCTTCACTTAGAAGCGTTTGGTTTCTATTAACAAGGACTCAAAGGAACGTGGGCCCAAATTTCCAGTATTACATCTCTATCTGCACAAATTATGGATTCTGCCCTTGCTGTATTCACTTTTAAAGACTCTTGGTCTCCTGCTTGCTCTGCTATTTCATCAAGTTTTCTTAGCCTTCTTCTAAAGTATCTATATAGCTTGGCTGTGTCTGCAAACAGCATGCATTCTTCTACCTCATCCCCATGATAGAAAGACGTAGGTGCAGTGCAAAGCCTTGGGCATCTCGCAGATGCCAAAGCAACAGTGTAATAAGGATTAAAAGAGTTTTACACCACAACCCAAACATTGTGCCTCCTGCCATTCCAGGTGTGCACAGCAGGAGATGCAATGTTTGGGTTGGGGCACGAAACCCCTATGCCAATCGCTCTCCTGTGAAGCTGCTACCAACCCAACCCTGCACATCAGGCAGGAGATTATTTTGTCCCAGACCTGGAACCTGCTGGGGGCTGTCTGGGGTGGGTCTAAATATCAGCCTGTCAGACCTGGCCCTGGACAACCCCAGGTCCAGGATGGTTCAATCCAGCTACAGGCAGTCTGGGTTGGAGACCCTGAGCTACTCAGGGCTGGGTCCAACAATCAGCAGAGCGTTGCCCCAGTTTGGTGCCAATCCCCATCTGTAGGGGCTATGCTCCACCAAGGAGCCATCAGGGTGCCACAGCCACCCCTGTGCTTGTTCTCCTACTCTGGCTCACCCAGTAAGAGTGGCCTCACCTACCATACCTTGAGGTTTAACATATTTTAGAGAGAACCGTAGCTATGCCTTGGTGCTTTGTTCCATGTTGCTCATCGTCAATCCTTGCACCCTAACCCAAGTAGGGCTCTCTCTGCCTTCCAAGGCCTTCATCTTTGCCCATCTCAGAGAGGCAGCCTTTTGAAGCACCTACCCATCTGGGCCCTTGCTCTTACCCGTTTGCCACAGGTACCTACCCCTTTGAGTCCTTCTTTAAGAATTAGTCTCAAAATGTGTGGGGTGAGCCACTGCACCTGCCATGACAGCATCCTTTCTAGGGCATCCTGTTCATGGCCCTGCTGGCCTTAGTTGTGCCCTATGGGCCCTAATCACTCTTAGGGGAGCCAATCGTGGCTTCTAGCCTCCCCCATGCCTTATGGGTCTTACTCTTATTCCATTCATCTGCACAGACATCATCCCATTAGCTCATGTGTAGCACTGGGCTACATCCTCTCTGGGCCCTTGGCCCTTAGAGGGCTGCTCCCTCAGTGTCTCAGTCCTCTGGCCCTCACAAGACACAAGGCAGACTGCCTCCCAAGCATGCCCTATAGCCTCTAATCCACCCGTATAGCCACAACCACAAACTCAAACCAACATAACAGAAAAACCCCCCAACCATTTAGCTTTCCAAAGCCCTTTCTGCAGAGCTCCCTTCCTCTGCAGGGATCAGGGCCAAGCTGTCTTTGCTAGCCCTAAGCTATGCTTATATAGCCCCTGGCCCCTTCCTTTTCCAGTCACCTCATTTGGTTCTCTGCCAACAGCTCCCAGGTGCTGCTCATTAGCCTAACCAACAGCTAATTATCCTGTTGTCTGCAGCATGCAAGCTGGGCCTCCTACTCATTGAATTGTGCTGCTTGTCACTTCCCTCTGCACTACTGAAATAATAGGGGTTAGGGATCCCCTGTTACACCATCCCCATGTTAATGCTGACAGTCAGCATTAAAGTGAACAAGCAGGACGGTGTGTTGGTCCATGATGCTCTCACAAGGTGTCACCTTCCAACCTTTCATTTCAATTAACCTCAGTACTCCCAGCAGTTATGAAATGTGTTTTATTGAATGAGTGTCACTTCTGGAGATGCTCATCGTGCTTTCCTGGATAGTGTGTTGCTCAGTACCACACTATGGATTTTTGTATGCTGTAGGAACATACCTGCTCCCCCCCCTGCCCCCATATGCATACCCCTCCAGCGACAGTGTCATATCCTCTCCAGTATTTGAAAACTAGTGTTTCATACTTGGGATGATGTTTTCATTGGATAGAAGAGCTACTCCAGTTGCATCTCCTGTTGGTTTCAAGTCATACTTTTCTGTTTGACTACAGCCTCCTTCTAGAGCCGTGGCCCTGATGGTACGAACGACATCATTGCTCTAGACTTTTACTCCGATTATGTCCATTTCCGAGTCTATAACTAACATTATCCTACCACCAAAAATGGTATCTGTCCACAAACGGTTCACTGTTTCTCCTTTCTTTTTGGTATCTTGAACACACAAATTATTTTTGTCATCTTTTTTTTTTTTTTCCTAGTACATCACAGTTCTCTGAACCTCTGTCCCTGTCCCGCCCTACAGCTATGAGTGAGTTTGATACCTTTATGCATCCCTCCGATGATTTCTATTTCCACTTCACTTTGGCAACAAGAGCCATCATCCACTGAAGGCTTCTGGCTATAGTGCCATCTCTTTGATCCAGCTTTTAATTCCCCTTAAAGCCTCTTCAGGAGTCTATTTGAGCCTCCTGGATCCCTTTCACAAACCCCAATTGGAAGAGAGTGAACAGCCATAACTACCCTGAATGCATTTCGCCAAATAGGACATCGAGGTCTCACCCCGGACTTAATCTGCCGCATCCAGAGAGGAGAAGTGGAGCTCTGGGTCTGTGATGAGGAGGACTTTGAAGAAAACCCATTGTCTGAGGACCCATCTCCAGGTAAGTCAGGTACTTTCCAGAACCAGAAGTCACCAGGGAGACTTTAGGCCTGAACCTGCACATTTTGTGATACCAGGGCCTGGGCTTTCTATCTTTATTCAGCAACGTAAGAGTTGATACCCATCACAAAATGGTCATGGTGCTATAATGAGGTAGGCAATTATTTCAGGCAGAGGGCCACTGACTGAGGTTTGGCAAGCCACCAAGGGCCGCATGACAGGCAGCCAGGGGCAACTAGATATTAATTTTCTAAATTTTTAGGGTCCCATGGGCCTGGTGGGCCACATTTTGCCCACCCCTGCTCTTTAACCTCCTGTGGCTGGGCATGATGGGATTTGTAGCCCCTCGTGGCAGTTGCCACAGTCAGCAGAAGCTCTGGGGAGCAATTAGGGTTGGGATATAGAAGGATCTGGGGCTCCCACCCTTCACTGCCGGTGCCATTTGCTTAAATTGAAGTGAAATGACCCTCTGTAACAAACATGGGCATAATGGAGATGTTCAATGCATATCTGAGGCTGTATTTGGCTGCCAGATGCAGGTGGGGTTTGACAATATTCATGCTCTAAGGGATATAAATACCTTATGGTTTGCCCCAGAATCCTAAGGGTTTCCTGGGGACAAGGGGAACATGGCATGCAGCCCAGGGAAAAGGTCTTTATCCTGGTGCAGATTCCCCTGCCATGGGGTGGGGGCACATGGCAGACAGAAGCTCCTTATGCTTACTTCCCTGCATGCAGGTAGGCAGCAGAGCTCTGCTCTTTCCAGGAGAGAGGGCTTATCTCCAGCCTCTCTATAATCACCCTTCAGATATGTGAAGGCTGTTATCAAACCCGCCCTTCCCTTCATCGTCTCTTCTCCAGACTCAATAACCCTAGTTTGTTCAGCTGGTCCTCAGACGTCTTGCCTTCCAGACCCCTAATCATTTTTGTTGCCCTGTGCTGGACTCTTTCCAAACTGTCCACATTTTTCTCAAATTGTGGGGCTTAAAATTGGACACAGCACTCCAGGTGAGGCCTCACCTGTGCTGAACAGAGCGGCAGAGTCACTCCCCTTGATTTGCAAGCAACACTCCTGTTAATACAATTTAAAATGCTGCTGATTTTGTTTGCGACAAGAGCACGCCATTGGCTGGTATGCGTGAGGGCTGAAACCATTTGGCATTTCTTTATAATCCAGCAGCCTATAAACTTGATTCCCCAACTGCAAGAGGTTCCTTGGGAGGATGTTATTTAGCAAATCCTATTACTCCCATGGTGATGATTTTCTCCAAACCCAAGTGTTCACCAGACAGACAGCTTCAGATTTATCCCTAGACGCTATTCTTAAAAATGACAGAAGCTGAGAGCTTGAAAGCAAGCACTGGAGATGAGCCCTGCACTGCTCCCCTGGATTATTTCAGAGGCTAGGGCACATAAAGAAATGTGGGTGATTGAAAAATATGAGTACTGCCTTCCCCATCACTGGTGTGGCATGGACCAGTCCTTAAAAAGCCATGTCTTTGCCTTTAAGCAGATGCCTCTGGTCTCACCCGCAGCCCTTTAGAGAGTGGAGTTACTCAACTTCTCTTCCCTTACAGCGGGAAGGAAATGGAGATCTTCTCCTGGAGTTGGGAGTCAGAGCCAGATACTGGATCTGGACTTCACGGACAAGGGGACACTAGCAAAGCACACTGAGCAGGGGCCTTGTCACTAGTCTTTTTTTCCCCCCAAAGCCCAGCCTTTCCCTGAGGCTCATCCAAGCACAGGAGAATAACACTATTTTCCCTTTGCCAGCAGAGCAGAATATAAACTCTGGGTTTCTCTCCCCAACCAGCAGGTGCCAGGACCCTAAATGGAGCTGAGGAGCTTCATCCTGATGAAGGGCCTGCAAACCTGGAGCTGCTGAGGACTTCCCCAGGGAGGTCAGGGGACAGGCTTGCCCTGGGACCCAACCCAGGCAGGTTTTACCAGTGGGCCAGCAGACTCCAAAAGAAGTGTCATATCCCGGCCATAAACCAGCCTTCTGCCCACTGGGGACAGAGGACAGCTGGACCTGAAAAGAGCCCCGTGTGGAGCGCAGGATCCAAGAGACAGACTGCTCCAGAGGAGCTGTATCAATGCAGGGAGTGTGGTGAGCCCTGCAGGGACCAACAAGAGCTGGGAGCACACAGGGCATCGCACAAGCAGGAGACGGGCCACCCTTGCACCAGCTGCGGGAAGAGCTTCTGGCTTCAATCCTCTCTCATCAACCACCAAAAAACGCACTCCGGGAAGCGCCCGTATCTCTGCCCCGACTGCGGGAAGAGCTTTGTCCACCTGCACGTCCTACGAGTCCACCGGCGCATCCACACCGGGGAGAGGCCGTACTGCTGCCAGGAGTGCGGGAAGAGCTTCCAGCAAGGCGGGGGGCTCACGGCCCACCAGCGCATCCACACGGGGGAGAGGCCGTACAGCTGCCTGGAGTGTGGGAAGAGCTTCTACCACCGCGGGGGGCTCGCCGCCCACCGGCGCGTCCACACAGGAGAGAAGCCCTACCGCTGCGAGGAGTGCGGGAGGAGCTTCCGGCAGCAAGGGGCGCTCACCGTCCATCAGCGCCTCCACACCGGCGAGAAGCCTTACCGCTGCGAGGAGTGTGGGAGAAGTTTCCGCCACGCCTTGGGGCTCACTTTCCACCGCCGCTTGCACACCGGGGAGAAGCCCTATCGCTGCGTGGCTTGCGGGAAGTGTTTCTCCCACAGCTCTGCCCTCACCGTGCACCAGAGGAGCCACACGGGCGAGAAGCCGTTCCACTGCGCGGACTGCGGGAAAAGCTTCGCCCAGCAGCAGAACCTGCAAACCCACCAGCGCGTGCACACGGGGGAGAAGCCCTATGGCTGCGCTCAGTGCGGGAAGAGCTTCACCCGGCAGCAAAACCTCCAAGCCCACCAACGCATCCACACTGGGGAGAAGTCGTACCACTGCGGCAAGTGTGGGAAGAGCTTCTCCCGGCAGCAGCACCTCCAGGCCCACCAGCGGGTTCACACCGGGGAGAAGCCCTACCTCTGTGCTCACTGCGGGAAGAGCTTCAGAGAGAGCTCGACCCTCACTGACCACCAGCGCCTGCACACGGGGGAGAAGCCCTTCCGCTGCACCGAGTGCGAGAAGAGTTTTGTTAATGCCTCCGCTCTCACCCGGCACCGGCGCATCCACACCGGGGAGAAGCCCTACTGCTGCGTGGACTGCGGGAGAAGCTTCCGCTGGCAAGGGGTGCTCATGGCCCACCGGCGCATCCACACCGGGGAGAAGCCCTACGGCTGTGCTGACTGCGGCAAGAGTTTTCGCCACGGCTCTGCTCTTACCCTTCACCAGAGAAGCCACAGGCATGGGGATAGGGAAAAGGTCCAGCACTTGACCTCCCATTGACTAGACACTGAGTTTGCATGGCCCTGGCGATGGGCATGCTCTCGCAGGACTCTCCTAACAAGCTGTGGTGGGGTTCAGGAGCTACAGCTAAAACCAAGGTGATAAGTGGGTTCAAGTGGACTCAGGTTTCTCTCAGGTCAGCTACCTATTTTGCAACTTTCTCGGACACGTCTTCCAATCCCACGGATGCCGGTTGGGTTGGGAGTATGAACCCAAGGCCCCTGCTACGCATTGTATCGATTATGCAATTAACTGGTTAATCCACATGTGCAAAATAAATGTCACACTTTGTGCAATAAATTTAGCCCGGCCACATGTGCAAAGTAATTCTCTCATGGTCAAATGACTATCCAGCTACAAAAAGAGCCAACCAGCTATAAAGTTAGTGCTTGAAAACGTGTAACAATTTGATATCTGGTTTCTATCCAGCTTTAATTTGAAGGTATAGCAGGGCCCAAAGATACCTTATTCACTTAGCTGAGGAAGTGAACTGAGAGAGGGAGGAAACGACAGGGACACGCACCTTAATTTGCCCCGAAAACAAATATCGCTCCTTGACCGGGTTAATGCATGCAAACAAAATGAATTTGCTGCAAACTCTTTCTCCCTCTTGCATATTTTTCTACATGATAGTTTTTAACTACTTCATCCTTTTAGGCAACTCCCCAGTCTTTTTTGGTTGTTAGTGACTTCTCTTGCTACATTTCCAAGACAGGTCTGACCACCCAAGCAAGCCTCCATGTTGCAGACTTGAAGAGTCAACCTTTTCCTAGTATGTGGGTCAGCCAACAGACTGCTGAGTAACAATAATCCTTATTGCGCTCAGGCACCCTAGAACTTGACTCCAATCTAAGACTAGACATATCCCTCAGATGGATCTCAGGTCTCTTGTGCTTGCTCTGACCCAAGTCTCCTGAGAAGCCTGGAAGCCAGCCCCATCTCATTTTTAATCAGGGTGTATCTCCTTGGACTCTGAGACCAGGTGCGTTGGTCCCAGCACCCATCACTGTGGACCCTCATTGGGTGCGTCTACATGTGCACATTTACTGCACAGTAATTTAGATTACTGCTCAGTAACTGGAAATGACTGTGCAGTACAGGTGTGCATCTACATGTGCACGCCTGTGCTGGGCAGTAACTATAGTGACTTACACCGACTTCGGCAGTATACACATCATTAGGTGAGGCCTAGGGAATTCAGTCCCTTTGTGGTATAAGTTATTCCTGTCATTGGGGTCACAATCATCTGTCCCTTTTCCTATAACTTCCATATTTGTGTCCGTGGCTCCTGACCTCTATGCAGCCATCCCTGAAAGCAACCCATAGCCTTTGGGGCTCCTAGTGTGGCCCCAACAGATGACCTTCCAGAGGAGAACAGGTCTAATTCAATGCCTGACGGCCCATTCTCCACCTTATCCAACAGACCCTGCCAACCTACGTCCCCCGACCCTGTATCCAGGCTGAAGGTTATGCCATTCCTTCCCAAGGCTGGAAAACCTACAAACAAAGCTGGAAAAATTGAAGCATGCACCATGATGAGAGAAATTGGAAAGAACTGTGCTGGTCTGTGAGGTGCAAGGGCCAGCGCTGTATCTGTTGGGCCAGAAGGTGACTCTGGGCTGTTCAAAGCAGGGACTATTCCCCAAGGACACACTTGTGACACGGGGGTGGATACAAGTCAAGTGCAGGGCAATCATTGGGAAGGATGAGGTCAGGGAGGTCCTAACACCTGTCCCTGTTGCCTTCCCATTCTCCGCCCCAACGCTGTAGAGGAATGCAGAAGTCATTCCCCCATCCCATAGCACGTGAGAACAGGGGGCATGTCAGGTGTTGCTTCTCCCACAACGCTGAACACATCAGAGAGGAGGGAGACTCTGACCCCATCAAGTTCCAGTGTGGAGCTAGTGCCCAAGCCTTCAAGCGTCTTCCAACATGATTTCTGAAGATTTTATTGCGTCTCCCCTCAACAAACTCTGCTCTCTATAGCTCCAGGCATGCTCTCCATCCAGGTTGGGGCATAACCTAGGCTGTCTCATAGTTGGGATAAGAGGCCACCTCTTCCAGGGTGGCTGCCGGGTCAGGAGTGAGGGGCATGGGTCGGAGGATGCTGAGCATCTGCTGGGTGGCAGGAAGGGTATTGGGAGCATCGTGCATGCAGGCAGTGGGTGGGGGATGGACACCTGTCCTACAGGAGGTGTCTGCCAGGTGATAGTAGGGCTGGGGATCAGGAGGGGATGAGGGCTGAGATCTACCTGCTTGCTGGAGCTGATGTGAAGGCTTGCAGGAGGATGCACCAGGTGCGGGAGGTCCACCATGCTGGTCAGTGCCAGGCTGCGGTAGGCGTACACGTTGCACAGCCGCCATCTGTGCCATTTCGCATGGGGCAGGGGAGGTGGAGCGATGTGGGAGTTATAAGTTGTGGGGAAGTGGGGCTGAGTCCCTATATGGGCCCTTGGGGGGTTGTAGGGCTCTAAGGGCAGTAGGCTGTGGCCCAGGTGGGTGCTGCCAGGGTTGGGGGCTGTGGGATGTGTGGGGCCAGGTGGGCTCAGAGCCATGTGAGATGTGGGGTCCTGTGCAGACAGCTGTGGATTTGGCAGGCTGTGGGGATGATCTACTGTAGCACCGTATGGGGTGAGCGCCTTTTTGGGCTCTGTTGAGCCCTGGCGGTAGTTTGGGGTCCTGCACAGCAGGCTGGAGGAGGGTGTGGGGGAGCCCCAAAACAGGAGCTTCCCAGAGGTGAAGGTCTGGATGGATCCATGGAGTTGGGGTTTGGGTGCCAGACTAATCCCCCACCCTGTCTTGAGGCACAGTGGGCCAGTATGGTCTCCAGCTTGGGTGACTTTATTTTTTTTCAAACCAAAACAAAAATCAAAGCCTCTTTACTAATTTTTATTAACATTTTTGTTCCTCAATTTAGTTCTCAGATTTTGGGGAGGCAGCTTATTCTTTCTGGACATCCCCCTCTTCCCCACAGACTCTTCTTTAAGCAAGGCAACAACAAAATACATGTGTATGCATCAGAGTTTGCCTTTTCAGTATTTGTCAGGGCAGTTTCAGAGGAAACTCAGAAAATGGAAAAGCAATGAAAAAAAATGCTGCACAAGAGAGATTTGCCATGCCTTGCTCATCTGTAGTCAGACGTCTTGGGCAAAACAGTTTCTTGATAAGATGCCCTTTGCCGTTCCCCATCTCGAGGTTTTGGACTGAATCCCACCTGGATTGTCCTCATGATGCAGGCAAGTTTGAGTTTGGGATTGAGACTGAATGATTTCTCTGCAAAACTCCTGACACTGCCCAAGGCAATAATGGATATGTACAGAGAACAGGTTTTTTTCATAGGTTGGAGCCAGGAAAAGCCCGATGGAGGGCACAGACCAGAAAATCAGCATGGGGGGCCTCAAAGAAGCAAATCCTGTAGATGTTGTGAAAGAAGGGACATCTTTTCTTAATTCCCATACCTCCCCCATTCCCTATGATCCTCTCCTCTCTGTTACACCCTCCAGGAGCACCTTGCCCCACAACACCCCAGACCCTCCCCAGGGTCTGAAATGGTATACCTCCAGCAAGGGACCTCCCAAGACCCACTCTCCCCACAAGCCCTTCTGTCCCTCAAAACACACCCTTAAACGACCTCTTCATATCTTAAAGCCCCGCTCGGGCTGGGCTACAGCAAGGCCCATTGCAGACACACTGGTTGCAAGGGTGTGTGACAGCCAGGCCAGCAGGTAGGCCACCAGGAGCAGCTCGGGGGTCAGCATCGCCGTGGCAAATAAAAACCAAGCACAGTCAAGTCCTAAAATGCCAAAGAAAGGACTAGGGAGACGTCACCTTGCTGTCTGTACACGTGGTAGCTGGGGGCTGGGGGGCTCGAGGAAGGAGGTTGATTTTCAGGGGAACTTTCAATTTGCATCCCCTGGCTTTTATCCCCTCCGCCACTTGGCTCCTTGGCTTAGCTCTTCCCTGTCGTCTCCCCTGTCTCAGCTGCAGCCACAAGTTTTCAGAGCAGCCGGACACTCCTCATTGAAGGAGGGAAGAAAGGGAGGATGACGCACCAGTTTGCAGAGGCTGCCTCCCATTCAGTGCAAGGGTCCAGCCCTGTGGGTTCGCTGATGCTTGATCAAGGCGCACCTCTGGTTGAAACATTTCTCGCACTGGGCACAGCAGTATGGTTTCTCCCCCGTGTGCACGCGCAGGTGCTTGGTGAGCGTTGGGCTCTCAGTGAAGCTCTTCCCGCACTGGGTGCAGGAGAACGGTTTCTCCCCCGTGTGCACCCGCAGGTGCCTTATGCGAGCCGAGTTGTCGGTGAAGCTCTTCCCGCACTGGCTGCAGGAGAAGGGCTTCTCCCCCGTGTGCACGCGCAGGTGCCTGGTGAGCGTGGAGCTGTCGCTGAAGCTCTTCCCGCACTGGGAGCAGGAGAAGGGCTTCTCCCCCGTGTGCACGCGCATGTGGTTCTGGAGGTGAACGGGCCAGGTGAAGCTCTTCCTGCACTGGGCACAGCAGTAAGGCTTCTCCCCTGTGTGCACGCGCTGGTGGACTCGGACGTCACTTGGGGAGACAAAGCTCTTCCCGCATTCGGGGCACAGGTGGGGACGGTCCCCTGCATGTATCCTCTGGTGCTTGATGAGACGATGTTTGCGCTGGAAGCTCTTCCCGCACTCGGTGCAGGGGTAGGTTTTCTCCCTCCTATGGATTCCCCTGTGTGCCCTGAGCTCCACTTTGCCCGCAAAGCTCTCGCCGCACACCCCACAGATATACAGTCCCTGCCCACGGTGAACCTTGCCCTCGTGGCTCTGCCGATCTCCCTGCTCTTGAAGGCCCTCCCTGCACACAGGGCTCCTTTGGGTCTCGGCTGTTCTCTGTACCTGTTGGGCGAGTCGCCGGGTTTGGGTTGGAAACAGCTTCCGCGTGGCAGGCCCTTCCTCGGAAAGCTGCTGCTCAGCTCTGCGCAGCGTCTCAGCATCTGCTGGGTGGAGACAGGAGCCCAGAAATTAGTCCCAGCCCAGCTGGCAAAGAGAAAGATCTGCTATTCCTCTGTGCTGGGATGTCCCCAAACCCTGGATGGGCCTTGGCTCCTCTGTGAGCACTAGTTGTCCAATTCCCAATGGACCGTGGGTCTCTGGCCTCACAGTTTGTAACACTTGTGCTCCAAAGATGGAGCAGAAGGTGGGCACTATTGGTGGAAACAAGGACTGCTTGCAGATGTGAACCCTCTTCCTATCCCCCAAAAACATGCTTTACTTTAAATTTGGTGCACTCCCACGTGGAGCCCATCACATGCCCAGAAGAAGGACTTTGACCCAGGTCTGCAGCATGTATATAGATCAAGAGCTTTAGTGGGGCTTTTTTGGTATTTTTATATAATGGCTGTTTGAATCAGCTTTTGATAAAAGCACCAAAAATCCCTGCTGAAACGCCCGATCTATACAGACGCTGCAGAGCCGGGTTGAAATAACACGCTGCTTCTCCCATAAAGCATGCTTTATGTTGTTTGTGGGGGGTTTCATGTCCGCAAGCAGCCAAGGAGGTGTTTATATGTCCCCAAGCATCCAAGTTTTGAATCCCCCCTGCACTTGGCAGCCATTTAACACAGCTGAGATAATGATAAAACACTGCTTTTATTCCCCTGACTATAACGGAGAGGAAATCCACTTCAAACTAAGCAATAGGACTAGCAACAGTGGGTAGAGTGAAAGCCTCCCTATGGCACTCTCCTTTATAGCCACCAAGAGCTCTTGCTGACCAGAATTGCCATGGGGCAATTCAAACCCCATCATGCCCTACCAAAGGGTATTATAGAGGCATGGCCATCTCGGGTGGGGGTATCAACTCTTACATTGCTGAGGGACGATGGACATTCAAGCCTACAGGACCCCAGGGATGCCAGATCGGTGCTTAAAATCAAAGCAGCAGCCTAAGCTTTGCCGCTCGCATTTTGTGACTTCCCTGTGGGTGGGCAGCCCTTTCATGAGAGAGCATCTTGCCAGGAAACCTGGGCTCAGCCTCCCTGGAAGAGAGTGATAAGGGGGGAAGGGCTAACCAGCCCTAATTGGGGGAAGAAAAAGGGGTCTGTCCTCACATCTATTTTCTGAGCCCTAGCCCATGACTTCAGCTTATATCCTGGACTATGCCTCTTGGATCTCCCTTCTCAGCTCCCCTGGAGCCGGGTCCTACGCTGTTTGCTCCATGGACCCAGACTCCGACCTGACACTTAGGTAACTTGTGCCCTCATCACCTCCTCGTTGCCCCCCAAGGGCCTGGCTGAACCTGCACACCTACCTGGACAACATACATTTGGCTAAGCTATGTTATGGCAGCAGCTCAAGGCAAGTGTTCAGGTTTCCAGCCCCCGCCCCGGGTCCTGCGCCGAGGTGTGGGTGCAGCAGGGAAGGGATTTTCAAGGCTCACCCAGGGATGAGTCTTCAGACAACGAGCTTTCTCCAGCTTCCTCCAAATCACTGACCCAGAGCTCCATCTCCCCTCGCTGGATGCGGCAGATCAAGTCCGGTGTGGGACCTCGGTATCCTGCGTTGGGGAGCATGCAAAGGGTGATTATTGCACCATCCAGGACCCAACTGGGACGTGGAAAAAGGAATCAAAAGACTCAAGCTTTCTAATGGGGACTCAAAAGAAAAGGGAAGGAGACATTTAGGAGAGAAGAGAAGCCACTATAGGCAGAAACCTTCAATAGAAGATGGTCTCTATCATCCAAGTGGAAGGATGGTCCAACGAAATATAAAGCATCAATCTCGCAGAAGTACATAAAGGGCATCCAACCCACAGTGGCACCATGGAAAGTGGGCAGAGATGGAGCAATTTGTAAAGAAGACAGGGAAAGCTTTTACATATTTTCAAGATACTGAATTGAAGAGAAAGAACATGAACACACTCGTGGATGGACACAGCCTATCTTAGCAGTGTAATTCCAGGCACAAAAAAATATGGACATGATTTACTCTCGATCAAGATTTGCAGTGATGAGTCTTGGAAGTGAAAAGTCAATGATAGACTGATGACAATGAATATCTGTATATGGGAGAGAGAGTAATTCAGTTTGGCACTGCATAGAAAAGGATAACAAATGCAGAGGCAACTATAGCAGCTTTTTCATTCAATGAGCGGATCGTCACAGGAGATAATGCATAGGTTGCATAAACAGACAAGGTTCCTTGGGTGAATTTGATATCTTTTATTAGACCAACACAAATAGTTGGCAAATAGTTATTAAGCAAGTTTTTGGGTTCAAAAACCCTTCGTCAGGTTAAGGAAGTTTCAGCAGTTGGTGTGTGCTCTTCCTTGTCTGCCTATGTCCTTAGACCAACATAGGTTGCATAAATGCAAATGTATCTATGATATAGCCTGTTTGCATTATGGATATGGCCAAAAGAAGGAAGAAGACAACTTATTTTTACACAATTTAAAAGGCCAGAGTGTGGCATTATTCAACCCAGCTTCCCAGAAAAAAGTTGATTCTAGAATCACATCCAAAGGAGATTCCAGCTCACAGGGCACAGAGAATCGGGAAACCAGTCAGCACGTTGAAAAAGATGAACAAGAAACAAAAATGTTAAATATACTCAACCTGTGGATGTATTAGGAGATGCAGGGGAATGGTGGGCTCTGTAGTTAACAAAGGAAATTGCACAGGATAAAAGACTTTAATGGTGACTAAGTATAATATCACTATGCTTTTGCTCTTTAAACAAGAAGGGAGTAACTACCAAAGTCCCAGTGACAGGAGAATACAAGTTACTTAGCCATTCATTCAAAACTGATGGAAAAGTTAGTTAGTACAACCAGACTCAACAGAAGCACACAAATCAGTGATAGTCAGTTTGGTTTTTAGAAAGGGAAAGCACAAGAAAAGTACAGAAAGCAATATGCTGTTACAGATGGCCTTTATCGATCTGGAAGAAAGCATCTGAGCAGGTCACAGGATCATAGAAAATGAGGGCTGGAAGGGACCATAGGAGGTCACATCTAGTCCAACCCCCTGCTCCAAGCAGGACCAGCCCCAACTACATCATCCCAGCCAAGGCTTTGTCTAGCCGGGTCTTAAACACCTCCAAGGATGGAGAGTCCACATCCTCTCTGGGTAACCTGTACCAGTTACCACCCTCCTAGTGAGAAAGTTTGTCCTAATATCTAACCTAAACTTCCCTTCCTGAAGCTTGAGACCATTGCTCCTTGTTCTGCTTTCTGTCACCACTGAGGTCCCTAAGGAGTATCTTTGCTGGAGGTTGAGGAGGAATAAGAAAGCACCTGACTAGCAAAAGTTGTGTACACCATCTAAGTCAGGACCAGCACCTATAATAAAGCTCCTTAGGGAATGAGTTTTTAACAGGGCTCTACATGCAGTTCATTTCTTCTTATCCCAGGGGTAGGTGTTACCAGAGAAGATCTTAAACGATCTGCACCATGGGTCATATATTTGCAAGGGACTGCTGGATATGAAAGGAGATTTTAGGACAACTTTAGGGAATGGCAGAATGAGGTTGAAAGCATGAGTCTTAAGGCAAATATGATGAACCTGGACTCTGTGGTCCATGGAGATGAAGATGGTGGTCCATGGAGATGAAGATGTTTAAAGGGAACGTGTGCAGAATCTTACAGGGACTCCATAGACATCCCCATATCCCACCACGTGGACACATGTCACTAGAGGAGAAGTTGAGGAAATGGAAAAACCACGTGCTGTAGCAGTGAGGCTGCTAAGACCTCCATTACCTTATGCTGGGTAGTAACCAAAGGAGAAGACACAGGATTTCGATAGTGCTGAAATGTGCATGCTAGGATTGTTAAGTGTTTGGACCAGATACCATAAGAAAGAGAGCGAGGAGGCTGGAATAATTGCCAAAGAGAATATTTATGCGCAATGAGATGGTATGAACACACAGGCAAACAGATCCTCTTGAAAATAAGCTGCTGAATACAGAAGCAACAGGAGTTGGACCAGAGGGAAGACCCCAGTGAAAGCAACTAGATCGAATGAGGTGGACAAGAGAATACAAAACGAAGAAGCGTGAGCAATGACAGAAGCGTGGGTAGCAAGTGGATTTAAATTACCAGCCAAAATTCATGCGGATAAGCTTGTAGGAAAACCAGGAGAAAAATGGGACGCATGGTGGATGCGTCTACACATTAATTAATGCGGCACAGTTAGTGAGCATTACTTTTGAAACGTGCATGAGCAAGCCCTAAATCGATGCACAGGAACCGGCACTCCTGCGCACTAGCACCAGCACACGGGGGGTTTTCAGACACTAATGGTGCAGTAGCCTAATACTACTGCACAGTAGCATATTGCAACTGGTTTTGCCCAGCATGCTACTGTGCAGTGCTATTAGGCTAACGAGCAGTTAGCATCTCATGTAGCTGCACCCACTGAGAAATGTTTCTGGGGAAAAAGCAAGAAATACAACTTTACCCAGGGAAAACAGGGCTTGGTAATTCTTCAGCATTTGGTCCCGGTAAAGCATCTTATCTGCAGCTTCCAGCAGTGCCCACTCCTTCCAGGTGAAGTACACAGCCACGTCCTCAAAGGCCTCCGAGAGCTGCAATCACAAGCGTCCCACCATCATCCATGCTGCTCCAGCCTCCTCCAGCCCCCACAGCCCCAGCTCCCACTTTGCACCGCAAAGATTTGCCAGCTTCGCTCTGTCGACTTTCCTATGCCTCCACTAACACAGCTGCTCCAGCAATGGGGCTGGTGTGGATGCAGCTCTGCAGATGGAGCAGCGCATTTTTCTGCTTTAACTCATGTCAGCCATGTACTTGGCGCAGCTCTTCCCTCTGTTATTACCTGCTGTGCTTACCCTGGGCGTGCTGCCCAACCTTAATGACACCGGCAGAGTGAAGGTGCCCTGAGTCTCCCTTGGGGAAGCTGTTTTTAGGGCACAGGCTCACAGGGAGAGCCCTGTTCCTGGGCTAGGGGAGCCCGAATTTCTCTTTCTCCACCATGCACCTCCCCAGGAAACACTGAGGCCCTTAAGCTTAGTATTAGGAGTCTCCTTTTCCTCCCCATTTGGCTCTGGGGCAGGGATCTGTGTATGCTCCCAGATCCCAGATTTGCACAGGGACCCTCCTGCCAATGTCCTATACGATCTAGTGCTGTGGCAGCCATCCCTGCAGTGTCCAGCCATGGTGTGGAAACAAAGGACAGGGGAAGGAGTGACGCCAGAAAAGGGGGATGTGGATTCCCAATGGTCTGGGTGGGGTAGAGCTGGCAAACTCAGCCTGAAAGCAGGAGAAAGGGAGGAGTGCGGTATCCCAACTCCGTGCATAGAGACTACACTGTTATAGCTCCCCAAGTGATAGTGCTCATTTTCCTTGGGCACAAATCACACCTGAGGGCTTGGGGTGGGAAGTCCTCCAGATATTAGCAACTCTGTGAATTTGTCTTTTATCCCGCTCAAATACTGGTTGCCAAAAGACCGGGGTTAATTTAGCTTTTTTTCTGCAGGTTGAACCAATGTCGGGTTTTCCTCCAGCAGTTAGCACCTTAACAGGTAAAGCGGGGGAACCAATGTCCTGCTTGCTTCTAGCAAAGTGCCTGCTCATGATACCACCATGGCACTGGCAAGGATGGAGGGACCTGGCTGGACTTAGGTGCAGAGCCCCTGCATGCATCTCAAGGGGGAGGGTGGGGTCAGCTGAGGAGACCCTCACCCCATGCTCCCTGGCATTGGCTGGGTGTCACCGAGTGCCCAGAGGAGCTCTTTCCTGGGAACCATAATCCTAAAATGTTGTCTTTTAGAGGCAGCACTCCCTTTATCCACCCAAGTCATCACTCCATCAAAGACGGAAATCAAGTTTGTTCGGCACGACGTGTTCTTTGTCAGGCCTTCCCGGCTGCTTGTGATTAGCCTTCCCTCCTCCCGATGCTGGCAAATGCCCTTCCTTAGGTCATTAACTCCAGTAACTTCCCAGAAATTAAGGCGAAGCTAACTGGCCTGTATTTTCCCTGGGGCCTCCTTTGTACACAGAGAGGAACTACACTGGCCCTTTCCCGGTCCTCCGGGACCTGGCCCTTTTCTCATGACACCATGAAAATGACTGCCAAGGGCTCTGAGATCTCCTCTGCCAGTTGCTCCAGTACCCTGGGGCGAACTTCATCAGGCCCTGCTGACTTGAGTCAGAAAAAAGATGGGGCGGGGGGTGTGAAACCACACCACAATAGCCCACACACCAAACACCCACACTTGGGCTCTTGCACATGCTCACACACACACACTGGCTCCGCTCTCATACCCCATGGGAGCCTGTACCTTGCTCGTGGCTATGCTCTCTCTCTGCTGTGGGCACCAGCCCTGCCTCTCGGGCACCTGGCCTGGCTCAGATGTCAGGAAGCCCCTCTCCCCAGGTCTTATTGAGGATGGTTTCTGCAGCGCCAGGGTGGCGGACCCTGCCTCAGGAGGCTGCTCCTCGGCTGTGCTCAGGGTTCCTGCACCTGCTGAGAGGGGAAGAGAAGATATAGGGTCACTCCTGTGCCATCGGCAAAGGCAAAACCCTGCTCCTCCCCGAAGCTGGTGTGGGCCTAAGTCAGCCCCAGGCCTCCGTGTGCGAGACAGGAGAACGGTGGAAGAGTTAAAGTCCTACAGGTCTTCTAATAGACCTCCATGGCCATGAAGCTGGAGGCGAGTCTCAGTGACTCTGCCCTTGATTGAAGTGGCAGCCATGGACATCACTCCCTGCAGGAGATGCAACCTGGGGTAGTGGGGGGAGACCCTGGTGCTGAATCAGGATCCACGTTGTGAAGCAGAATTGCTCCCCCTTACCTGCCTCTAGCAAAAGGCCGTGTCTGAAGAACCAGCCCAAAGACCTTTCCTCTGCCAATGAGTCCCAGGTCTCCTCTGTGCCGGGGGAATCTGCAGGAGGACACAGGAATGGGGTTACCTGTCAACAACCCAGCCCAAAGCCATCAGGAAACCCCAGGGCATTTATACACATACCTTTTCGTGCCTGGACGGGCTGGAGATCCAGGGCGTCGAAGCAGACTCGATTAATCGACTCTGCTCTGCACACGAGCTGACATGCACTGTGCTGCCTCCTTTGCAGTTGTATAAGCGGCGAAACGCACATCGCTGCAGTGAAAATGGTGGTGGTGCGCTTTGGAGCTAAAACACCCTCTACGTGTTTTCGTTCCAAAGCACGCCGCTACCATTTTCTGCGCGCTGATGTGCATTTCGCCATTTTTAACTAAATGGCATTTCCCCATTTTCAAAGCGCCCGGCACTGCGACGCTTGGATGTGTAAAAATGTCCCCGCTGCCTGGATGCATGCGCTGACCCATTCTCGACACGGTGGTTTCATAGGGAAGTATGAAAAAGGGTGTAACAAGGGCAACTGGGCCTCAAACCATCAGTATTTATCACAGTAGCATTATGAGACCCAGAGCAATACTGGATTTTCCCACTGCTCCCAGCTCCTCACTCCAGGTGCTGAAGAGTGTCAGGGGCTCCTCAGGACCTGGACCCAGACCTCTGGCACATTACCTGGCTCCTGGCGGGGTGTGGGCTCCTCTTTGGGGACACAAGGCAGCTCCTCCCGGGACCCTGGGGTTTCACCCCAACCTGCCTCCTCCAGCACCATGTGCCCAGGACGGGGCTGCAGCTGCCCCAGCCAGGAGCAGAGAGGTTCCCGCAATGCCCCAGGCCCATCCGTGTCCAAGACCATGTCCTTGAGCTGCCTGCGGGCTATGACCTGGGGACAAGACAACCACATCACTGGGAGCTGGAAGAGATGGTGCTGGGAGACAGCATCCCCAGACACATGGAGATGGGGAGGCAGCATTGATGACCAGGGTAAAATGCTCTCATCCTGGAACATCTCATCCCCCTGCTGCCTTAACCAAAACCCTTCAGCCAGGGCCATGGCCTCAGCGCAGGTCTCCACACCATGTCCCCACTCCCAGCCCTGCATCTCCTGGGGCAGGATGGCCAGGAACTGCTCCAGCACCACCAGCTCCAGCATCTGCTCCTTGCCGCGGTGCTGGGGCTCCTGCAAGTGACTGCAAACATCCCGCAGCCCCTGGGCACAGACACCCCGGTCCAGGTGGGCTGACCCCAGTGCTACATTTGACAAGAGAGCCTCAGCACAGACACACTCACCTGCCAATGCTGGACGGGCTCCTCCAGCCGCCCCTGTTTGACCCGTCGTGCTGCCCACCTCGGGGATGCTCCGCTTATCCCCGCCTGCACAGCATGAGGGGCTTGCCCTGCCACCTCGGCTCCCGCCATGGGATCAGGGCAAGCTGGGTCCCACTCCTCCATCCTCCCCAGAGGCTGCAGCAGTGATGGGAGGAGGAGACAACAACTGTTATCATGAGTCAGGACCCAACCCCTTCCCCCCATGAGCCCACTGCTTCCCGCCCACCATCAGGAGCTTCACAGGCACCAGCATCCTGTGCTGCAGCCTGGCACCACTTGCCCAGAACAAGCAGACCCCGCCTGACCCCTGCCCTTCTCCCCCAAGATCCCCCACCCCTGCCCATCCTCTACCTCTCATCCAACCTCGCTGGCTCCCGACCGGCAGCCCGAGCCCTGCTGGTGCCCCGCACTCCTGACCAGCAGCCCGAGCCCTGCCGGTGCCCCGCACTCCTGACCAGCAGCCCGGGGGCTGCTCAGCGGCTCTCACTCCTCCTGCAGCCAGGCTGGGGAGGGAGCTCCGGGCTCAGGAAGCGGCATCACATCCTGTGCTCAGCTCCGCCCGCTGCAGGGGCATCGGGGAGGGGGCACGGGCCACAGGGACCGCAGCCAGAGCAGGGTGTCCTGCACTTGCCCCTGCCCTCCGTGCACCGTGGATGGGGGCTTCAAGGTGCCGACACACTCCGGGAGGAAAGCACTGGCCAGAAGAGCCGAGCCTGGGAGCAGCACTGCCCCCCGCAAGCACAGGCTCCAGGGGCTGTGAGGGAGCCCAGTCCAACCCCCTACTCCAAGCAGGGCCAGCCCTAAGTAGATACACCCTGGCGAATTATGCACACGCACACACAAGTATCTGGAATGATGCTCAATGCATGACAATTTTGTTTTGTCTTTTACAAATTAAACTAAATATAACACTATTTGAACCTTCTTTAGAAATATATGCAGGGACTTGGGTGTGTGGTGTAGTTGGGGGTGGGTGTTGGCGTGGTGGGTACGGGTTTGTGAAGGTGTCGGGGGGTGTGGAGGTGTAGGAGGGTTGTGAGCAGGGGGTTGTGAAGTGGGGGTGCGGGGTTTGTGGGTGGGTGTGGGCTCCCTTACCACACCCCCACCTCCCACACAGCCCCTGCCACTGGCAGGCCCTTGTGGGCTCCTGGCTACAGCAAGCAGAGCCCCCCACAGCGTGTGGCTCCCATGAATCCTGGGGGCTGCACATGGTGGCACAGAGCCGGCCCATTTCGACCTGCTGGCAAGCAACTTGGAGCCCGTGGGGATGGTGGTGGTGACGCATTGGGTGCTTAGGGGTGCATGTGCACCCCCTGACTAAGGTGGCACCAGTTGCCTATGCCATGGGGCATAGTGTGCGGGGCTCTGCCTGCCCTGGACAGCAGCACCCCAAGGAGCCGCCATTGGCTGCTGCTGCTGGCAGTGGGGGCTGTGCACCATGGGGTAGGGGGTGTGTGGCAGGGGGCCCACACCCACCCACAAACCCCTGCCACACACATCCCTCTTGTGCAGGCAGGAGATCCCCTCCCCACTCACCAGCTACCCGCTGGGGAATTACAGGATATTATGCAATTATGTGCAGTCATACATTTTACACACAAAATTATGCAGGCGCAGGATGGCAGCATTTCCTGGGGTGCAACTAGACCATCTGAGCTACAGCTTTGCCTAGCCTCCACTCTT